GCATATTTCGACATGCGCACGCCACATTCATTCGCGCACATGGTTGACGAACTGAAAAGGGCGAAGCCGTTGCTGGCCCGGGGCCGATTCGCAGAAAAAGAAATAACCTGCGGAGTGAACTGCAACCCTCAATCGATTGTGCACGACCCTCTTCTAAGTCAATATCTCAATCCCGTCAAACACACCTACTGGGATTGGATGCACTGTTTGGTGGCATCAGGAGGGGGGCGTGCCAAGTAGAGGTCAATGCTTTCTGTGTGAAGCTCATCTCCAAGCCGCACTGTATAGACCTGGGGTCCTTGGACATATTCCAGCAGTCGGTTTTGTGGCCGAGTGGGTCGCTGCCCAATATTTTTTTCAAGATCGCGTTCAACGTGATGGCTGGTGTTTGAAAGCATGGGCAGACGAGACTTTCTGTTGCGTGCAGGCGCTACTAAAATTTGCCGAGCTGGTGTTAGTTCCAAGCGGGACGCTGCTAGAGGAGACGCGTTGCTTGCGCATGAGTTCAAAAGTATTGGATATGCTATCTATCCCTGCATGCGCTGTCAGCCACCTTGACCGATCACCACAAGCTCATCAAAGCAGTGCATGGGGTATCTTATGTCAAACCGAAGCTCCACTACACCCACCACATCCCTCGCAATATCGATGACGTCGGCGACGTCCTGGCTTGCTTGTCCACAGCGTAAGCTTAAGTTTGTGAACACCATCGGGCAACACTCGAGCGGCGAACATTGGGAATGCCAAGTTATGAAACGACAGGTGATGGACGTCCTTTTGCGGTTCGATGGAGAGCTGAAGTCTGCGTGGCTACCAGGTCGCGTGGTGAAGGATGACCAGTCTGCGAGTTTGATACAACGAGCACACGGCATCACTGACACTTTAGGATTGGTCCAATCATCAACTAGGATGGTCACTGAAATTTGGGAATTGCGACAGAACGTGCATATTGGTATCAACTCCTGGCGGGCATCGCTTGGGGAAGCTGTGCAATTTCGTCGGTGGCCGCCCGATGTTATCTAAATCACATCTGCCTTGTGTACTGTGGGCGCCGCTGTTGTCAAGCCCGGGCGGTGTTTGGGTTCCGAGTACGATTGAGAAGTGTTGCAGCGCGACGCGCGATGTGGCGCGGGCCATCGCCGTCGCCAGAAACCGCGATGGGGTCCAGCCGATCGTGCCGCAGCTCCCAGGCTTGAATCTCGCATGAGCACTTACGCTGGCATCCCGCCAGATGCGCAAGCAACGCCAACCATCACATCTACATCATCACCCCTTCACATCCTCATGATCCTCAACGCCCTCATAATCAGCCTACTGGTTTGCCAATATGGTTGGGAGTTGGCTCGCCACTCCGCGTCGCCCTCATCGTGCTCGTCATGATTCGTGCATTTGGGAGTTGGCTCGCCACTCCGAGCTCCTCTGCCTCGAAACCCACCAGCCCTCTGGGCGTAGGTGGTTCCGGGAGTTTCCTCTTCAATCTTCCCTCCTTCCCTTTCGGGGAGGGGTTTACCCCTCCCCCTAACCCCCTCCCCTGGACTTGGACGGGTGGGTGGGGTGGTTCTGGTAGTTAGAGCGTTCAAAACAAGCTCGGCGAGGAAGCGAACATCATCGGTTTTACCAGGTTTTGGTTCCATTTTGGCCTCTTGGGGGGGTGCTAATCGACCCCGCCCTCTTCATTGATCGATCTCCTCCAAGATGGCCCCAAGAGGCGCCCAGGAGGCCCCAAGAGGCGCCAACATGGCCCCAAGATGGCCCCAAGAGGCCCCCAAGAGGCCCCCAAGAGGCCCCCAAGAGGGCCCAATAAGCTCCCAGGATGGTTCCAAGAGGCCTCCAAGAGGCTCCCAGGGCCCGCCACGAAGCTCCAAGAGACCCCCAAGAGGCCCCAAGAGGCCTCCAACAGGCCCCCAAGAGCCCCCAAGAGGATCCCAGGCGGCCTCAAGAGCGCCCCCACCCCCCCCCCCCCCCCCCCCCCCCCCCCCCACCCCCCCACCCCCCCCACCCCCCCCCCCCCCCCCCCCCAGCCTCCCCCCCCCCCCCGACGCCAAGACGCCCAAGGCCCCCTTTGACGCCAGAGACCACTTTTTTTTTTTTTTTTTCTTCTTTTTCAATACGTCCGAAGAGGCTTCCAGAAGGCTTCCAAGAGGCATCCGAGCGGCATTCAACCATCCACCCAGCGTCATCATTCTCCTCATCCCTCCTTCGCTCGGTTCCTCGCCACCCCCTCATCTATCCATATGGCCTCCTCTTCCGCCTCATCCTTTGCGCGGATCGGCTGTCCCTCTCGTTGCCCCCCCACTTCCCTGATCTTCAACTTGCCTGGACATCGTTTCTGGATGGGCTGGTGGGGGCGCGCGAAGCGTCAAGAATTCCTTCCCCTCCTCCTCCTCCTCCTTCTCCAAATGCCCCTTCCAATATGGTCGGGAGTTGGCTCGCCACTCCGCGTCGCCCCCATCGTGCTCGTCATTATTCGTGTATTTGGGAGTTGGCTCGCCACTCCGAGCTCCTCTGCCTCGAAGTCCTTCCCCTCCTTCTCCTCCTCCTCCTTCTCCAAATGCTCCTCCAATAGCCATTTTGGATCAAGCATGGCGTCATCCTCCGCGGCGACCCTGCCGCCCCACGACGATGTCGATGCCGACGTCCACATTCAAATTCCGATGTCCAGCGGCACTCTGACCGCCCAAGACAGGAAAATCATAAAATTGGAAACCGGTTGCGCGGCAACAGCGCGAGACAGACACGACGGGCACGGCCGACTTTTCACGCTGAAGGGGCCCCAGCGCATGCAGGAGCGAGCATGCCACCTCGCGAAGGCACTCATCGAGGCGAACGGCCAGGACGGAGGCAGACGCCCGCGCCCGCCGACGGCCTCGACGCAGGAGCAACCGCGCGAGCAGCAAGATGACGCAGAGTGGCAAGCCCAGTCAGGGTGGCAGGATGCTGAGTGGTCTGCTGCTGAGTGGCAGGCTCCGCAATGGGCAGTGGCACCCGCCGCAGCCATCGGAGTGGCAGGCTGATGCGTGGCCAGCTGAGTCGCTGCAGCAGCAGCAGCAGCAGCAGCAGCAGCTGCAAAGGCAGCAGCAGGCGCAGGAGCAGCACCCCCAGCCACACCACCAGTGGGAACACGCGGTTCACCAGCAGAACGCCGCGCAGCAGCAGCAGCAGCTGCAACGGCAGCAGCAGGCGCAGGAGCAGCACCCCCAGCCACAGCGGCAGGAGCAGCGCCAGGCGCAGGAGCAGCAGCAGGCGCAGGAGCAGCACACCACCAGTGGGAACAGACGGTTCACCAGCAGAACGCCGAGTGGCAGCAGTTGATGATGCAGTGGAGGGCGGCGCAGAGCATGGGCGACATCGCGCAGCTGGGGCGACAGAGCTGGGCTTCCCAGGTCCATAGAATATGCGCCACCACCCTTCCTCCCTTCTCCCCTTCTCCTCCCTCTTCTACGTTTCATTCGTCCCCGGGGGGGATTGGGGCGATGGAGGAGGTGGCGGTGTATATTTTTGGGCCCCTCGGGCATCGTCACCTTCGACGAAGCCTCCGCTGCCAAGACCCATTGGGTGGGTGCGACAGCGGGGGCGGGGGGCTGCGGAGATCTCGGCGGCGGTGGCGAAAGCGCTTGAAGCCCATCGAGCCCTGCGAACTGGCGCTTGAAAACAATCGATCTGGCGAGGAGGACTCAGGTGAAACACGCCCACCCATCTCGACTTTCCATTTTTAGATGCGGGGGGAGGGGGGGGGGGCGTAGAGGCGCGTCACGCGGGAGGGGAGGCTCAGGAATTGGGGGCGGCGGAAGTGCGAGAGCATGCGGCGGCGAGCCGACCGCTGGAGACGACGAGGATGGCGACGATAAGTTCGATGACGACGCGGACGACGACGACGGCGGCTGCCCCCTGCCTCCCGGGGAGGGTGCTTGAAGATAACTCGCGGGGCCCGTTCCTTCTCAATGTGCTTTTGTTCCTCCGGGGGAACTTCTGGCCTCTTGAGGCCCCCTCGAACCCGCGGCCCGAACAGGGTGCGGGAGGGCGTTGGTAAACTCCCCAGCAGGAGACAGCGCACGCGCAGCCGTGCAGCCAGGAGGTGGAGAGATCCCCAGAGGAGATCGGGGTGGAGATCGCGCACGTGCAGCCGTGCAGCCAGGAGGTGGGGCGACCCCCAGAGGAGATCGGAATCGGGGTGGAGACCACGCACGTGCAGCCGTGCAACCAGGAGGAGGAGGAGGGATCTCCAACGGAGATCGAGGTGGACACCTCCCCAACGGTCGTCCCTTCGCTCATTTCGGTGGCTGAGGAGTGAGCGGTGCGTCTCAAGCATGCAGACGGCTCGCCGCATCTTCATTCGTTGCATGGCAAAACGGGTTCCTACCTCGAAGGATTTGGCGAGTGATTGGGGCGTCTGATGACGGCTCGCCGCATTCGACGCCCCAATCACGAAGCTGCTTGCAGCTCATAGCTCGAGCGGTAATTCTCAAGGGGAGAAACAGCAGTTGCCATGGCATAGCATAGCGTAGCTGCGTTGTCTGATCCCGAACAGACTTGGCAGTGCACAGGGTCATAGAAAGGAGTACACCAGTTGCCATAGCACAGCATAGCATAGCATACCATATCATAGCATAACATCTGCGCTGCGGCACCGAATAGAATTAGCATTGCGCAGCATTGCATCGGGACGTTGAACCATTGCAGTAGCATCGCAACACATGGGATAGACTGACAGCGCATGGCTTTTCATGGCATATCAGAGCGGCATGCATACAGCCCGGCCTAGCACGCGCCTCGACTCCATTGATCCCCAAACACCGCTTGCAAGTTGGAGACCACTCGAAATCTATTGTCCTTGGGGGCACTCATTTTCTCTCCCTCGGCCCCTCCATTTCAATCTCTTTCCCTGCTGATTCTTATAGCATTGTTGGGTCCTCGCTTGTTTCGCATTGGTCTTCTGTCGCAGCTGCTTCACGGCTCGCCGATTGCAGCTTTGTTTTGTCGTGCTTGTCCTTTGCCGTCAGCCCTCTCTCGATGGCGCAGCCTAGTGCTGTCGCGAAGAGCCAGGGCGCTACGGCCATGCCCAGGGCGACGGCAGAGGCGGCGGCAGCTTCGGCGCAGGCTGTCGCGAAGAGCCAGGGCGCTACAGCCATGCCCCGGGCGACGGCAAAGGCGGCGGCAGCTTCGGTGCAGGCCGAGGAGGCTTCTGCTGCTGGGCCCCAGGCGGAAACCCCCGAGAACGTCGAGACCATGGCGAAGTGCTGCTTGCGCAAGCAGATGAAGCCCAGGTCCGAGATGAAGGCGTGCAACGGCGATTGGAGCAACTCGCGCCGATGCAGCGCTTGCAACTCACTGCGGGGCCGCGTGGGCCGCATGCAAGCACGCGATGTCGAGTTGCAGGCTGGGTGCGCGAGCCTCGACGCGAAAGGCCGCGAGGAGTCTTTCACGGACAGCGCTGGCCTCTTCAACGCAGAGCTCAAGGCAGCGCTGACGACAGCCATCGCGAAGTCAGTCCTGGATCGGCTCACGAGCAGGATGCAGGCAGAGGGGGAATTCGAAGATGTCGATGACCTGAAATCGAAGATGGAGAAGAAAGAGTTCGAGGAGTTGTGCCAGAAAGGTGTTCTGCGATCGACCACCCGATCCACGCAGGTAAGCAGCTCGCGTGGAGACCGACGTATTCGATGACCATCACCATGGAGCAGGTGCTCCAGGAGGAGCGCAAGAGGCAGCTCGAGCAGTACGAGGAGCGGAAGACGAAGCGCCAGAATAAGGAGAAGACATCACACCCCGCCGAGAAGGAGGACAAGGGCCCCGGAGAGCCCACCGCTTACACCACCTTGGCGAAGGGGCGTAAGGAACGGCTGGATCTCGTCCTTCCCAAGGTGACACAGGCGCAGCTTGACATCACTGCAGTGATGACAGAGGCGGCCCGCCCAGAGAACGCAGAGGCCGTCTCCAAGAAGATGCTGGCCTTCGGTGGCAAGACGGCGAAGGTCGGCGCTGAGCTCCTAGACGCGCTCGCGAAGATCCAGACCGACGGCGTGGCGACGAGCAAAGGTGTGTTGCTTCAGCACCTGGAGCACGCGAAGGAGTTCTTGGAAACGGCGAAGGACGCGGGTGGCAGAGCGAAGGCTACTGTCGATGAGAGTTGGGGAGATGACGAGGTGGAAGGGTGAAGGCTGCCATCGACGAGAGCTGGGTGAGGCTGCCATCGACTCGGCGGGCATCGCCCCGTGTTGTTGTCTCACAGTTAGCACCCGCTCCGGGGGCATTCGCGGGCTAGCTTGAAAACAACACATGTCATCGTCTTCGGCAACCGCATCACCATCACCACCAAACACCACCATCGCCATAAGTGAGCATCCCTGGGCGCCTCCTCTCCTCCCCCCTTCCTCCTCCCTTCCTCCGCCCTTCCTCCTCCCTTCCCCCCCCTTCCTCCTCTTTCCTTCCTCCTCGCCCTGTTGCTCATGCTCTTCCTCCCTCCGCCCTTCCTCCTCCCCCCTTCCTCCTCCTCCTCGCCCTGTTGCTCATGCTCTTCTCCTCGCC